AAAATGAGGAGCTGAAACCAAGGGCTCAAGTAGAAAGAAAATCCTTTGAAACTGATGCTGGCAACATATGTACAAATGTGCTTGAGACAATGTATGTATGGATGGATTGTGATAAGAATTGTACGAGCCCCCAATGAAATGATTAAAAAAAAAAAAAGTTAGCTTCCATTTGGGATTGCTGAGGTAATGCATCCTAGGAGTAAGGTTAAACCAGGTGATAGCTCAGTCTTAAAAATACTGGATCCTGCCTCTGATTAGGGCTGCCATTAAAGGTGAGCTGATTCTATTCTAATTGCTTCCTAGAAGCTAAAAAATTCTTTCCTGGAAGAAAAGAGCCATATCTTTAGGTGGCATGATGGTTGAGTCCTTGACTCCAAACCTAAAGATTGGTGGTTCAAACCTACCCAGAGGCACTCAGATGTACTTCTGAAAAACCTGTGGAGCACGTTCTGCTCTGATATATGTGGTATCACTATCAGTTGGAAATTACTTAAGGACAATTGGTTAGAGTTTATAGAATTTTTCTTGCACAATGTCCTTCACTGAAAAATTACCAAGCATAAAAAGGAATAGAAAAATATAGGCTCAGAGGAGTGAGGGAGCATTGGAACTGATTGTGATGTTTATACAACTTGACTTACGAGTGAAAGAGGAAAAGCTTTTGCTTACGGGTCATTAAGTTTATTTTAATGGTGGTGAAATAATTTAGAGAGTGATATCAATAATGGTTGGACAACATGAAAAGTATGATCAATGGCACTGAATTATAGATGTAGAAGTTGTTGAATGGGAGAATGTTTTGTTGTGTCTATTTATGCCACAATTGAAAGAAATAATTACACAAATAGCAAGGAGTACAAGGAAGAAGAAAATGTTCTAAAAATGATCATGGTAATGATTGTACTACTGTTGTACTACTGTATGATGTAGCTGAAATGCCAATAAAACTGTTATAAAAATATATAGGCCCACTAAGCAGACCCACAGGTGGTCAAGATACTAGAGTTATATAATACATTATTAATGTTTCACTAGTATCCTATTTTATTTCTGAGTTATAATATCTATTGCAATGGTTACACAGAACTCAGACAAAATTCATAACTAAAGAGGTTATTAAGGAAATTAACAAATCGTGATGCCAGTGAGAAATGCTTAGGATCTGTTACAGAGTTCTTTCAGGTGTGCTACTAAATGCCCAAAGGGGTATACCAATCAAATTGAAGGTATTGGCTCAAGCTCTGTGGACCAGCAAGCTCAGCTTCCCCAATTAAGTGCCCAGAGGCACCCACCCCACTCCATAAGCCAGCCAGCTTTACTTGCTCTGTGAATAGGGAAGTCCACTGCTCTGTTCCAAGCTCTAGCTCTTGGTTCTGTTATTACTGTTTCTTTGATGTTCACTGCACAGAGATCTCTGATCCAGAGGAAGCACAGCACTTATGTCTCTTGCTGGTAATGCGTGAATACAGCAGGATTGCATTCTTGAGAATCCTGTTCATAATTACTCACTGGTAAACCCTATCAGTACCTTCCGCCACCTTATCAGACCCATGCAAGAAAAGGTCATTTGGTGGGAGAGAGTTTGGCTAGAAGAGTCACATAAATAATTCATTTCCCCTGCAATTAATATGTTTAAATAATAGATGACAAGGTAGATAATGTCATCAGAGAACTAGATCATATATAAATGAATCAAATGGAAATTCTAGAACTGGAAAATATAATAACAGATTAAGGCAATAAATTATTTTAATAGCCAATTCTACAAAACTTAGAAGAGATTAGTGATCTGGAAGATAGGTCTGTAGAAAGTAATTTGTGGATATTTGGAGACAAAGATGAAAGAAATCAGGAAAATAAACAAAACGAGGGATCTGTGAGATAAATAGAAAGATCTAGCATACACATAGATGGAATTGCAGAAGTGAGGGAGAGATTAAAAACAGAAGTTTTTTCCAAATGAATGAAAGACATAATTCAAGAAGTTATATAACCTAAGCAGGATAAATTCAAAGAAAAACATACATCATTATAAAACTAAAAATCAGACAAATAGGATGCCTGGGAGTTCTGGGGAACACTTCCTTGAGGAGCTCTCTGAGAGATTGCCCTCAAGGGGTTTGGAAGGAGAGGCTTCAACTTCCAGGAGGGTTTGTCTCCCGCCAGACCCTGGCTAGTCCCTCGTGCTCTGAGCCTCAGTTGTCACATCTGTGAATGGGGGACAGCAAGCACTCCTGAGTTGTAGCTCATTCGGCTCAGATTTCTAACCTATGGGGACTATAAGAGAATAAATGTGTGGTTTATGTTTGCTTTCTGATTTTTTTGTGTGAATTAGGTAAAGGTTAACAGAATATATCATAGCTTTAAAATAAACGTCTTATGCACAATCTGGTTCAACTCACCTATTGCAATCGCCTCAGTGTACTACTGTCTTTTATCTTACTTCTCCCCTGTGTTGACTGTTTCATTCTTCTTTCCCAGCCTTCTGGACTTTGTTCTTGGGTGAATACTGCCCTTTTGCTCATAAATGGTTGATTATTCTAATGTGCAAGAAATGTATGTTGTTTTAATGAAAAACAGCAAAACAAACTAGAAAAAACAAGCAATAATGGTGAGGAAGTAATGGTAATTATCTGTAGCAAAGGAACAGTAAGATGGAAACTTCTCAACAGAAATCACGAGGTCTAGCCTGCTGTTTTGTGTTTTCAGTTATGTCGGATAGTCTATGCCAAACCCATTGGCATCGAGCCAATTATGAGACTATAATTCTTTAAAGAAGGAGACTTAAAGATTTTTCTCTTTCTCCCACGGAGTGGGTGGATAGTTTTGAACTGTAAACCTTCGAATTAGTCGTCCAGTGCTTACCTGACAGCTCCAGGGCTCCTTGTTAGGGCCTCTAAATTTGTTGCTATTTTTTCATGGATGGTTTTTATAGTTTTAAGCTTTATAGTTAGGTCTTGAGTTCCTTTTTGTATATGTTGTGTTCCATTTTTCTGCAAATGGATATTTTGTTTTTCCAGCACCATTTGTTAAAGAGACTGTGTCTTCCCTGTGTAATAGTTTTTACCCCATTGTCAAAGATCAGCTGTCCATAACTGAGTAGATTTATTCAGGGTTCTCATCTGTTCCATTGCTTTTTGTACTTGTCTTTGTACCAGTGAGTATCAGGCTGTTTTGACTACTGTGGCTCAGTGTTAAAGAATAACAAAGAATCTTCAAAACACCTCATGACATAGATGAACCTGGAAGATATCTTGCTGAGTGAAATAAGTCATACAAAAAAGGACAAATGTAGGAGGCCACTGTTATTAAAAAGGCTTTCCTTTTTAATAACAGATAAGGTAAACTACTAACTAGACTCTAGTTACTAGAGGGTAGACTCATGAACTTAGGTAAAGAGAGTGGTAATTCTCTTAGGGGGGAGGCAGGGGAAAGCCCTGGATGGGAGTGCAAGAGTTAAGACAGCAGAGGTAGAAATCTGGTATATTCACAATCCTGCCATAGCAGTGATGTGTGAGTGGGTGCATGGACAGATACATAGACTGAATGTGTCTGTGAGAGTTAGACTGTACCTATGAATATATATAGGTTTGACCTAGGATATTTCTACTATATTATAAATACTAGCCTCTATGATGTTAATGAGGTAAGATTAGAGGCAGCTAGTTACATTATGAGGCCAGGGTACTTACACTATGCAGTCTAGGTTATCAAACTTGGTTATTGTAATAACTACAGGTCCCTGGGCTTCTCTTCCTAGAAATTCTGATTCATTAGGTTGCAAATAGAGTCCAAAGATTTATATGAATCAGAATTGACTCAATGGCAGTAAGTCGAGTTTGTACCCTGAATTTGGACTTCTAGCCACCTAAACTGTGAGTGAACAAATTTTTGTTTGTTAAAGCCATCCATCCACTTGTGGTATTTGTTATAGCAGCACTAGATAACCAACACAGCCATTATGTACCAGGGACCTTCAAAAAGTTTGTGGAAAATACCACTATATTTTAATTTAATTTTCCCATGACTGTCTGAAGTATCCTGTGTCTTAAAACTAAAGCTTACCAGGTGCATAAGCAAATGTGGTGAAGAAAGCTGATGGTGCCTGGCTATCAAAAGATATAGCATTTGGGGTCTTAAAGGCCTGAAGATAAACAAGCGGCCATCTAGCTCAGAAGCAACAAAGCCCACATGGAAGAAGCACACCAACCTGTGTGATCACGAGGTGTTGAAGGGATCAGGTATCAGGCATCATCAGAACAAAAAATCATATCATTGTGAATGAGGGGGAGTGTGGAGTGGAGACCCAAAGCCCATGTGTAGGCAATTGGACATCCAGTTATGGAAGGGTCACTGGGAGGAGATGAGCCAGCCAGGGTGCAGTGTAGCAATGAAGAAACATACAACTTTCTTCTAGTTCCTAAATGCTTCCTACCCACCCCACCCCACACTCCCAATTCTACCTTACAAATCTGGCTAGAACAGAGAATGTACACTGGTACAGATAGGAACTGGAAACATAGGGAATCTAAGATGGATGATTCCCTTCAGGACCAGTGGTGAGAGTAACGATACCTGGAGGGTGGAGGGAAAGTGGGGTAGAAAGGGGGAACGGATTACAGGGATCTACATATAAACCCCTTCCTGGGGGATGGACAACAAAAAGTGGGTGAAGGTAGACATCAGAAAGTGTAAGACATGACAAAATAATAATTTATAAATTATCAAGGGTTCATTAGGGGGGTAGGGTGGGGAGGGAGGGGGAAAATGAGCTGATACTAAGAGCCTCAAGTAGAAAGCAAATGTTTTGAGAATGATGATGACAACAAATGTACAAACATGCTTGACACAATAGATGGATATTCAGTATGGATTGTGATAAGAGTTGTACAAGTCCCCAGTAAAATGATTTTAAAAAAACCTCAAGCTTACATCATAACTTTAGTGTGCTACCAGTTCTTCAACAGATACTTAACACAGGTCAGATTTTATATATTTACTCAATTCAGTAACAAGTCCCTGTGACACGAAATGATGTAGCCAACTGGCATGGAACAGTACTATAGGAAAGAAAATTATTTCTGCTGACAGAATTATTTTTTTCTACCCTTTCCTCTCTAAATTGATAATAGTAAGGCTGAACATATTTTTGTTTTTCTCTTGTAGACTCCATTAATAATATACCTCTTTCATTTCTTGATTGACTATGCTGAATTGGTATTTATGGTAAGTAACCTTCCTTATAAAATGTGTATGTACCTCTTTAAACTTTTTCTGTTATTTGTCTTATTTTCAAGGAAAAATATGTTTTAGGAATTTATAAAAAAATGTATATCTTTAAATTCATGGAACTGTGGCAGTGTTGTGGAAGTGTGAGGGATAGTTTGACACTTGGCCAATTGCATTCCATTATTCTTTTCAGAATTTGGGTTGTGAACTACATATAGTCTTGCATTTTCTAGCTTCATGATTTTAATATTAGCTTTAATTGTGCTGATCTGGAGAAAATCTTGAATTCACTAAGAATTCTACCAAGAGATTCTATGAGTCATTATGAAGAGAACACAGACCTGATGCCTATAAAACTGTGACAGAACTGTGTTTTGAAAGGCATAGTAATTCTAAACACTTGCCTAATCCGAGCAGTGGTTATGCTTTGGTCTGTGGGCCTACATGGTTGGCAGTTCAAAGTCACCAGCTGCTCCCAGGGAGAAAGAGGGAGCTTTCCACTCCTGTAAACAGTTACAGTCTTTGAAACTCAAAGGGACATTTCTACTCTCTACTATAGTTTGAGTTACTATGAGTCTGCACTGACTCCATGGCAGTGAGGGTTTTTGTTTATTTATTTTTTGCGTAATCTAGGGTTGAAAATCTGGGTCAAGAAATGCCAAGGAGATCATTGAAGCCTTCTCTAAAAATTAAGACTTACTGTGTGCTAAGCACTTGACATATAGCAGGCTTGCAAAGTCTTAGGTACTAGTCTAGTTGCACAGAGTGCTTAAAGAACTTGAAATTCCAGATCAGATTTGGGAGACCAAACTGAAGTGGGCCTAGATGAACCCTGATCCTCAGGATTTTCTAGTTAGGGTTTTGCCAGGGCCTTATTCAGGTAGTCAGTGGTACAGAGAGAGCATGTGGTAAAGGGTAGAGGTTCTCCCTGACTTGAGTTCAATACTGAGGGAGAAGAAGGGGAGCTAACAATAATGAGCATGAAAAGAAAATGTTCTGAACTTGATTGTGGTGATGATTGCACAAATCTTCTTAATATGATTGAATGATTAAATTGTATGATATACGAAGTATATGTCAATAAGATTACTTAAAATTTTTTTTAATTAAATTTTTTTAAAAAGAGAGAGTGAGGTCAGTAGCCCATTATCATCCAAAAACCTCCAAGTCCTAGTATTCCTATACTAATAGGGTGCTGTTTCTTATTTTTCTTTCTCTTGACAGATAACTGATGCACTCACTGCTATTGCCCTGTATTTGGCAATCCAGGACTTCAATAAAGTTGTGGTGAGTAGCCAGTAGTGGGGAGAAAGCTGATGGAATATGGTTACCTGCTGGTCTCTGTAATTACAACAAATCTAAGTCATATGTTTAAGAGTTCAACTGCTTTAATATGCTAAGTGGGAATGAAGTTTTTAGCCTGTTCAGCCAGCTCTGAAATGACTAAACCCAGACTCACAAGATAGCTTTGTTGATAGATGCAGAAAGGTGTTTATAATTTAAGAACATTTATTAAGTCTTAAAAGGGACAAAAACAACACAAAGGCACAGATCATCCAGATGGAGGAGATCACTAGAACGAGGTCAGAATTGTGTCTGAAGATTCACAGTGGAGACACCAGATGAATCGGGCATTGAACAAAAGACTCCCACACATTCATGATTGGCTAAAAAAGAACAAAAAAAATTCATGATTGGTGGCAAATCAGTACATCAGAGTTACAGGTAGGACTACAGAAGGAGCAATGGGACATATGCATTGTTAGAAGAACATACAAGATTGGTCCAGGGCCTTCCAAACAAGGCAGGTCAGGATGAGACTGATAGGGCATGACTCATGACCAAGCAACCCCCTGTACGGTCCCCAGTAAGGCAATCGCTATCAAGGACATACCCAAAGAAGCCCCAAGGAAAGACTGCCTTTCTAGGGGCTGCCTGGAGAGCAGGGAGGTAATCTGCTTTCTGAGGCACTATGCCTGAGGGCAAGATTATCCATATCCTTGGTTAATGATCAGAAAGAATTCAGTGGAGGCTTAATCTGTGTGTGGGACCCTGTAAATGGAGTTTTGGCTGTCACTGACATCTGTAGCTATGATCCAGGGTACTTAGAATTCAAGCTCTAAAACAAAGGTCAGTGTAGCTTAATACCCACATACCTATGCAAGTTCAAACTTCTGGAGTATAAGCACAGTCGGACCACAGTTATATTAATGAGGAGCCTTCAAAATCTTCCATTCTTTCCCCAGATTTTCTTTTCAAAGGAAAATGAGCACAGGCAGTCCCCACTCATGATTTTGGCTCACTGTGGCCCTATGTAGAGTTCCTAGGAATATAAATCTTTATGGGAGCAGAAAGCGGCATCTTTTCCATGAAGAGCAGCTGGTGGGTTTGAACCACTGACTTTATGGTTAGCAGCCAAACACTTAGCCCATAGCACCACTAGGGTTATAACATTTGATTTAAGGGCCGCTCCTCCTTGCCTTTTTATTTTTACTTTTTATTGTGCTTTAGGTTATTGTTTACAGACAAGATCATCAGCTTTATATTCAACAGTCACATGTTTTGTTTCAATTCATCTACTTCAACCTCCTCAATGTACTATTGTTTCCTCGTGTTTCTTGTTTCCACTTTTCCTCCTTTCCTAGCCCCTGCCCTTGGGTAAATGCTGCCATTTTGATCTTACATGGTTTATTATTCTAGCATAGGGTTGAGTTTAGTTTCAGACTTTAAGAGTGGCTAAAGGCCATAGTCTTAGGGGCCCCATCAGTCTCTATCTGACCTACAAGCTTTTTTCTCTTTAATGATTTTAAGTTTTGTTTTACATTATTCTAGGACTCCATCCAGGATCTACTAAAGTGATCTTTTCAGAGTGGTTGGTAGTTGGGCACCATATAATTCTTCTGGTCTCAAAGTTGTGGAGACTGGTGTTTGCGTGGCCCATTAGCCCATTGGACTGTTTGATTCCATGTGCATTTTGGTTTTCATCACTCTTCATTCTTCTAGATGGGGCGAGGCCAATATTTGTGCCTTAGATGGCTGCTCATAACCTTTTAAGACCCTATTCACTAAATCACCAAAGTATGGTATAGAACATTATCTTTGTGAACAATGTTATATCGATTTACGGTAACTTGGTGTCCTACAAGACTATGGTCTTGAGCCCCCAGGTCCAGTGACTTATTCCCTCAATGCATTATATATAAGGCCTCTTTATCACATGCCTTCATCAGAATCACCTTCACTTGCTGCCCTTGCAGCTTTTAAAGCAGTGGTTCGGTTCTCAACCTTTGGGGGTCGAACAACCCTTTCACAGGGGTCGCCCAATTCATAACAGTAGCAAAATTACAGTTATGAAATAGCAGTGAAAATAATTTTATGGTTTGGTGGTCAGCACAACATGAGGAACTGTATTAAATGGCCGCGGCATTAGGAAGGTTGAGAACCACTGTTTGTGTTTTTAAATAAATGCTAAATTAGGGGAGCCACTGTTTTAAAGCATTTCTTGTACTAAGGATTAGGTTCCCAAACCTGGCTGATCATTGGAATCACCTGGAGAGCTAATGAAACTACAGAGCCATAGGCTCCTCTCCCTAGAGATTCTGATTCAATAGGTTGCAAATGGAGTTCAGGAGCCTGTAATGCTACCAGATCCCTAGGTGATTTCCATCCCTCGCCAAGTTTGAAACCTGGGCTGTAAGGTAAGCCTTCCGACTTGCCTATTAAATGCTTAAAGAGGTAGGAGCTGGTCTTGTTCAAACCCTAGGACTTCCTATATAGCTTTTAACTCCATGTGCTATGCCTGTCCCAGGATTTATTGGATTCTGAGTATTGTTTTTGTTTCTCAAGAGAGAGCAATTTCAATAGAAAATTTGGCATACATTAAATGTTTGTTGAAGAATTGTTAGTATGCTACAGGTATTTTTTAGTCCTAATCTATGTGTATTGGCCCAGGAGAATTGCATAGTCAGACCATTCTCGTTTTTCCTGGGTTCCAAGAGAGTTAACAGATTAATTATGTATATTCTCTACATAGTTTTAAAAAAATTGGCTTCATTTCTCCTTGACAGGCTGAGAGCCACTGAGAAGATTAGACTGAATGTCTCATCTCATTCCCATTGTCTGCTGTTCATTTTTCACGTCTGCTACTAAGTAATAGGACCCAAAATAGCAGTCGGATTTTCTGTAGCACTGGCTATGAGTAACAAATAATGCTGGTGAATTCTGAAATATGAGATCTCAAAGAGATTTTTAAAATATATAAACTGGGGTTCTTGGGGGTTGTTTATAGACTTTAGAGGCCTATGAATCCCTTGAGATATGAAAAATTGTATATGTATAACCACATGACTTTTTTTTTTCTTAATCAAGTGCATGATCTTTTTTCCATTTTATTGGGAACTCTTACAGATATTCTAACAATCCATAGTACAATTAGATCAAGCATAATTGTACAATTGCTGCCACCATCTTCAAAACATTTTCTTTCTTCTTGAATTCTTTGATATCAGCTCCCCTTTATCCCTTCCCTACCCCCCAGGAACCCTTATTATATTTATTATTATTATTGCCATATCTTACACTATCTAACGTGTATCTTTTCACCTACCATTCTGTTATTCGTTCCCCTTGAGTTGGGTTATATAGTCATCCTTGCGATCAGTTTCCCCTTCCCCACTTTCCCTGCTCCCCACTTCTCTTTCTATACCTTCAGGGAATCATTACTGCCGTTACTATTTCTGAAGGGTTTATCTATCTTGGGTTTAATGCATCTAACAATCTTAATTATACAAATGAACATTCTCAGGTCTAACAAGATTAATGAGGAAAAACTAAGACCATATAGTTAGGGGAGGAAAAATTAAACTAGAGGATAGTTATGCATTTCATTAGTGCACCCTGGATATATCATCTCTTCTGTGAGGGACTGTCCAATTATCTTACAGGTGGGTTTTGCGTCTCCACTTTGCTTATGCTCCTTCACGTCAATTTGATTGTTTGTTTTCAAACTTCTGATACATATTCCTGTTGACAGCTCATGATCACACAGCCTGGTGTGCTTCTTCCATGTAGGCTTTGTTGCTTTCCTGCTAGATAGCTGCTTGTTTAACTTCAAACCTTTCCTTAAGCATCTATTTTGTCTTCAGTGAATGTATTGGGAAGGTGAGTATCATATATTGCCATATTATTAGAACAAACTATTCTTGTGCTGAGGTAAGATTTAAGTAGTGGCCCAAAGCCCATCTGTTTCCTTGGATTTACATATATATACATATAGACAAATACAACTATATGTATTTACATATATATATATATCTATTTTTAAACCTATATATGTAATTTTTACATTCTTGTTCTTTCCTCTTTTTCTTTTTTCTTTCCTCTTGCCCCCCTATCATGTTTACCCTTTGTTCACCTCTCAGTAATTCCTCTTGGATACATTTCAATTGATCAAACACGACAGGAACATCACCCCTTCCTCATCATCAATTTTAGATCCCTTGCTGTTCCCCTGCCCCTATCATTATTGTCTCATCCATCTCCTCCTCCCACCTCCTCCTTTCCCTTTCCTCCCTGCCCCTCTTTGGGACCATCTGCCCTCCTATTGCTGTCTCTTTGGGATTGCTTATCCCGCTTATCTTATATAGATA